AAGTCATCTAAAAAAAGAAAAAGAAAATTGGATTCGTTTGGGGGGGGGGGGGGGGAGGAGGCCATGGCCCCCTTTGCCCCCCCCCCGGATCCGCCCTTGTGTGTGAGACGTCAACTGTAATGAAGACTAGCGCCTGCACAGTTAACGTTCGCGTTTGTACCCTAAGGGACACTCACCTTTTCAGAGGCCCCACCACTATAATGAATCAGGACATACTAATGCCCGGTATTTTGTTTTGTGGACTGTGATTATATTTCCTAAGGCCCGCCAGTCAGTTTTGTGAAACCCTCACTATATATGATCGGTGGACGCGATGTAACACTGCTAAAGATTTCAAGCATCTGTAACTTTTGCCTGGAGTGAATTTCTTTCCAGAGAAGCAATGGCATAAATAAATTCCAAGTATTTTTCTTCGGGAGTTGACTACATGCGTCTGTGTGTTCTCTAAGAGAAAATCACCCTGTCAACTCGATACTATAGTCGAATATCAGTTTACTAAGACTGGCACCAACTTTGAAAAATTTGAGGTGAAATATTCATCACAGAACGCTTCTCGATCTTCAACAAGTGTGATTGTACTTAAACATCACCACTGTGAAAGGTTTAAGGACAATGAACTATCTTCGGACTTTTCCTGTTTTCTGCATTTTTGGGGACCATTCTCTACCGATTGCTGTGACTTGATTTCGGGGGGGGGGGGGTGTTGCAGACCCCTTTCTTTCCCCCGGGGGCAATGGGCCGCGAAGGTCCCTTCATGGCTCCTCCGTGTCCTCGCTCAAACCCCACGGGAACGTTCTGCGATACCGTCAACTTGTTACTCAGTCGTCTAGGGTGTCGGCGTTGGACGGCTTGGCGGGGCCCGGGGTGCTCGGGCACGGCGGAAAAACCTTGACGGCACGTGCCTGCCAAGTTTGGCCCGGAGTCCCAATGTCGAAGGGTTTGACATGATCCGCAGTCTGTATCTCGCCAGGAATTTGGCAGATTGCCACGGCCTTTTTCCTCTTCTAAACACTTCAGCTAAATACCAGAAAGAGTGGTCATTTGGAGTTACTACCGAACTATTAATTACCAACAATGATTACCAATCAATCTTTATCAAATCAGTTTGGTTATCTTATACCGGTAGTTATTTAGATAATGTGTAAGCCGCTGAAGACTTGGCAATGCAGTTAATGCCTTTTTTTCGTGCACCTCGCAATCGAACAGAACTTACATGGAAGTCAAAAATATGAAACAGTTCATCATGGTATATGCAGGCTTATATACGCCACACTGCACACGACGTCCGGGACTGCGCCAGTTTGTTTCTGGTTCTCGCCAACGGATTGTTGGCGGATACCAAGAAGTGCTAAAGTACAGGGTCTGTTGCAGCGCCCTCGTGTGACTTTTTTTCATAACATCTTGCGTAGGTTAGAGTGTACCCACAGTCCTCTGCGTTTCCGCAAAATGATAATTTGATAGCTGTCAAATTGATAGCTGGTTACTGTTAATTAGCCTGCACCAGTGACCCAAGCAAAGTGGCCAATAAACCAGTAAATATCCCCAACTTACAAATGCTGGATTATAGGCTATGCGTTGTGTTCACGGCTACGGTTAGGCTTTGTAGCAAACCAACTGCAAAACTGAAAGTCGTAGCCGCAAAGTTTCTGTTGCAGACACGGCAACACATCCTCGCGAAGAACAACAGGCTGCGATGAGCACACGCATATCTCCACCACAGAAACGATTCTTCACACTTTGGCACAAGAGTCAACAAGTATTTTATTAAGAACCAACAAATTCCTAACCGAAAGAATTAATCGTAAATAATTTCTTTAGGCCAAGTAGTTTCCACCAGCCTCTGAGGGAGCTAAGGCCCCGTGATATAGAGCCATTTTACCCGGCCCTGACAGATCAGCTCCTGTGAGTCTTAAAATAGCACAAATCTGAAAGCTCAGAACCCCACACGCTCCAACAAGATCAACTGTCTTAACCACTCACACTTGGGTTTCTAGACCAGTGTCTTAATGGCACTATCAGTTTTCTTGCGCGATAGTAGTGTTTTCACCTCCCCGACCCCACACATCCCATCACGTACAAGTGACCATTTTACGATCTGTCAGTTTGCGTTGCGAGTAGCCTATAGGTACAATACCCTGGGTCTGAATGAAGTACTCCATCCAACACAAGGAGGAAACATTAGCTTTCCCGTTGAGCCTGGGGTTGATGTTTTTATACCATCCCCCGGTGCTGGGCCAGGCGTGTTACAGTCGGCACGCAATGCCAGCCCGTAGACGCCAAGCGCGATTCTCCAAGGGATGGATTGTAGAGTTCTCAAACAAATAATGTTCTAGTTCTGAACTTTCTTTGGGTTAAGTTGTTTCAATTTGTACTATGTGCTATGTCTTTTTCGTACAATGACCTGGCATAAGGAAAATACTTTTAAAAATTGAAGGGAAAAAAAGAGTAAAAGAATGAATGAAAAGATTAGGGGAAAAAAAGATCCATGGTTGAACATTTTTCCAAACAGCTTCACGCTGACGCCCACAGCAAGCTCCCAGCCAGGAAGCAGCACACGCCGCCTGGCAGTCGCCGGAGAGACTACAACCCACGTAACCGAGCCAATCTAGTCCAAAAATCCTCGCTCCATCGCTCAAATAAAAAAGCCCAGTACGATCCAAGTTCGATGACCCTCAACTTAGTGATGTTTGGGCTCATAATACTGGCACCCATCGTAATCAGCACACCGCAACGAGGAAGACCGAGAAAAGGCTACCGCGGGAGTCCGTATAAGGCGCAGGCCCGCACCACAGCTTAGCGGACGGTACCCCGCTAACCCAGTTACGGAGACCCAAGGAAGCCCCAAATTGCGAGTGGCGACGGAGCAGTACGTGAGGCCTTTCCTTTTGGTAAAAGACGCTTTATTAAATTAGTAGTGTACGGTGGAGGCCCGAAGCGGGGAACCCACTGGTGGGCGACCCTCTCTGTTCCCATGGAGCAAGGGCCCAAGAGTGGGGGCTTAATAGTAAGGTACACTTGGCTCTCTACACGGAGTTCGAATTTACGTATTTATGGTTGGGTGGGGTGGGGTGGGGGAGGGAAATGCACCGTATCTCGTTTGGGGTGTTCTTTGGGCGTGCCAACAAATGTATCTCGTTTTGGAGGTATAGGTTCTGTGGGCGTGTCCAGATAGCCTATATAAGGAGGAGGCCAATCATGTTGCGGAACAAGTTATACCTTTCTTGAGGCCTGCTTGCCGCGCTCAATGTTCTTATTGGTAAGTATGACCATAGCGTTGTATGTTGAGGCTTTATATAATTACCATAAGATATTACATCAATTCCAACATCTCCTCAAAGCTGCAGAACAATAAACCAGCTAACTAGAATGGTGGATTCAACTTCTAGTACATACCCAGTAATCTCCCACACATAATTGAAACACAAAAATAGATTTATCTTCATTTCCGATATTATTCATATCGGAAATAATGGGTTTTCGACGACACTAAATAAGCAAAACTTCCCGAATTCCGAATTCCCCGGATTTTCCAAAATCCCCCCCCCCCCAACATATCCCAAAACCTGTTCAAAAGTCGTGGGTGTATAATATTACTTACAATAGAGTAACAATTGATATTCTGTGCTTGGTGGACTTTTCGGAAGCATACGTGCACTCAGACAACACAAGATTGTATACAATAATATTAACAGCGATTCCACAAAGGCATGCATGGTTCACCTGGCTTTCTGAATCGCGATTGTTGTGCAAATGAATGCTTTTTGCATTTTTCTTAGACTGTAATTTGTAAAATGTCGTGTCCCGCGCCTGTATATTTTTGTTCATAGTTCGCTAATCCTCAATGGAGACTAACAGAGGAACAAACTCATATTGTATTTCCTTTTCATATCTCGCTGACAAAAGAGGGGAAATATGCAACACGCTAAGGTAGCTTCGGCGCCAGTTGGTACAAAAAAGACAGCACGGTCTCCCAAAACTCCCAAAAGAAAACCTGTATTAGGGGATTTAGCAAAATACTTCATTAAAGGGTCCCAGAGTTTAGATTGAGTCTTTTTCCCAACCGACCAAACACATTTGGAAGGCAAAGTCTGTTTTTAAAACACCAGATGCGCAAATTTGAAGGCATATTTGAATTCATCCCGAAAGTAACCCACCGAATTACTACCTTGGATGAAAGATCGTTCTGGTACTAAACAGTTATCTATAAACAGAAATTATTCCGTCTGGCTTGCTGTCATTTTAGAAGAAAACAAGAAAGAAATGTAGGTGCTTTCCAACTTTCAGTCAATGTTTTTGACTGATTTTGTTTCAATAGAGAGTGCTATTGACGGCATAGTTTTTCGTCGTGATCAAGCGGGCCGTTGTATGGTTTTTAACTGTTTTCTCTAAAAGTTTAATATCCACCGTGAGCTGAAACGTTATTAGGTTAGGATTTTAAGATTCTTCTGTGGATTTTGAGTGGCGTTATTACTAGGAACGAACAAAATGCATGAAAAGCAAAATGATCCTATATATGCCTTTAGTTTTGTTTTTGAAAGAAGAGTTTTGTTCGCGTGCATTCGCAGCAAGGAGCCACCACTTTACCAATCAAAACCTGCTGGTTCTAGACGGAGAAAAAAAATCCAAAGTTAAGAAGTCGGCGGAATAAATACAATTCAATTTATGGATTTAGGGGAGAAAAATCAACCTTGCGAAGCATCGGGGGAGCGGGTTATTTTTAACTTTCAAGGACAGAAACAGGCGATATTATGACATTCCAACGGCAGAAATATCTACGACTGTAACTTCTATGTGTAACTCTAACATGAACAGGTCGTGTTAGTATTTTTAACTTTTGCGTCAAAGTCCCGACATTCCTTCACAAGCTTACGTCACTGGTAAATGAGTTACAACAACTGCTCTGGATGTAAAGCTACCGTAAGGATAAAAAGGCGTTCTTTTCGTCCATCTGCAAAAAAAAATAGATAGTGTGCATTATAAAGGTACATTAAAAGACTCACCATGGTAACGTGCCGAGATGCCTGCAAACTCCACTCATCATGGTATCCTGGTAACGGGATGATGCGGGACAAAAGAGAAAGAAACAATCCTCCGCAAAATCTGCCTCTCAAAGTCTGCCTCTCAAAGTATCACCGCGTGACAACTTGGTAGATAGAGAGCGCACAGTAGGTATGCAGGTCTGTCAGCTAACTGAAGTTCAAGTATCACTTGTGGTAACTCGACAGGCAGTTTGGGATTATCGTACGCGTAAACCCATTAGGGATGCTCGTCCGTATCTATAATAGTTATCTGTTGTGACAGTGGCATCCAATGATCGCAGGTTGGTGTCAGTTGTACGTGTAGCATCATCCATGCGAACGGGGAGACGGTCTCGATCCAAATGCGGAGCCGCCCGTGAGGGGGCCGGCTTTTTGTAGGCCAGGTTCGTCGGGGCGAGACCAGCGCTGTACACGCGCTTTAGCGTTACGCCATCCTCTATTGACTGTAAACCGACTTGGCGACGCTTAGCCCAGTAAACAGCGCTACACGGGTCCCCGGCCGGCCGCGGGAGCGCTATTGCATGCCTGCAAGCGTCGGGTCCGGGGCCCAGCTCAGCCAATGATATTGAGATTGGTTAGACTTGATTGCAGCAGCGCCGAACTGTCGTCAGATTAGCGTCTGGGAATTCACGGAAGCAGAGGATAATACCAGGCGAGGAACCAGGGCCATCATGGGTTTTTGTGAGGAGCCGGGTCGGTACGGTATGGTTGGCACACGTGGCCCGTGACAGCGGCGGTGGGGTTGGAAACGTAAACGCGTCAGAGGTAATTGGCCGTGAAGAATTCTAGGCAGTGATAACCCAGTGCGTGGGATGAGGTTGCTCTTGAAATAAGCTCATGATACAACAAAGTACTAAAAGCAAGCGATGGAGACCGATACTGGGTGTATAAGGAGCTGGAGTTTTTATCATTAATTTGTCCCAGTGGATTACTGAGGGATTTGGCAATGCTGATGAAGCTCACACTGCCTCGGGTGTCATTCAAGGATGGGTTCTGTCTGTCGCCCTCATGAGGCTAATTGGTCAGGAGCAGATGCCTAGCAGTGACGTAACTAAGGGCCAGTGGTGGCGGCACCCCCCCCCCCCCCCCCCGCCCCGCTAAGAATTTGGGAAAGGAAAAAGGAGGAGTTGTTTTAAAAAAAAAACACCGATTGAGTGCCCCAACCACAAAATGAGCACCCCCCCCCCGCACCCTAGTACCCCTTTACATATTGAACCCTAGTTGTGCTAGTGGATCATCGAGCCACGCTGACCGTGTTCAGGGACGTGCAAGGTCAGATTTTTGCAAACTTTGCATCCTTAATAATCGATCATTAAAACATGAATTAAAGCAGTTTTAATGTTTATAATGACCCACGTCCCTTTTGATATACACGGGCCGGGAGACCAATCTTTGGAGCGCTAGGCTTGCAGTATAGGCAGCGAAGGTAAAAGAAGGCAAGAGTGAATGCTCATACTATTTGTGACTCGTGATTAATATTGTCCCCTCTTTTTGGATACCCACATTTGCATCATTCAGAAACATTTCGCCACTGCTGCAGTACAGTGCTCAGTGAGAGCTGCACCGAGGCGTTGCCGGGGGGGGGGGGGGGAGGAGGGGGAGGATGCGTGTGCCCCCTCACAAATTCCCAGTGTCCCCTGGCCCCTCTCCCACGAAACAAAAATCTACATTTTCCCCTTTCCCGAGAATTGTCTTCTTTTGTTTTGTTGTAAATTAACCAAAATGAGAATAAAGACGAATAGATTAACTTGATGCTTATTACCTTAACCATACGAATTTATGAAATAATTATGAATAAAGAGATAAGAAAAGGGTAAAAGAGCATCAAATGAGGTCCCCCCCCCCAGGTTTTCGAATTTGCAGCAACTGGCTGGCCAGTCTTCCCCCTGAAAATTTGGGCCAATTTGGATGTGGATCCGCCCTGGAGTCCCCCCTCCTCCCACAATAAAATGTTGGCGTCCCCCTGGGCCCCACTGAAAAAAATCCTAGCTACGGGTCAGTGGACTGTACGGACACAACTTTCGGGCGCGCCGGTACTTATGGTGCAAATGACGGTTGATTCACTATATCTACGGTGGTCCTATGTTGGTGTACCCGAACAGCGCCACCATACGACACTGGACGGCGAACACCGTTTGGGTCTTGTTCTTTAGAACAGGTAAAAGGTAAATTCAATTTCGGAAACAATAAAATTGTAACATGAGGGATCCATGTTACCTAGAAACGGAACAACAAAAGTGCGGGAAAAAGAAAGATAGGGTTTAACCCGATTAGTCTTTCCACACAGCATATAACACCTGCTAGACTCAGAAAGTACTAAACATATCAATCTACTTGGAAAAAAGTTTTGAGACCATGCCAAAAATTTATTGAAATTTATCTCGCTTCAAACCAACAGCTCTCTCTGATAACATAATTTTTCTCAAAATCTACAGTATTAAAGAGAGCATTCTGTACTACCGGTTTTTATTCTTCAATTAGTTTTATTTATTTTGTATATTTTTTTTGGGGGGGGTGCGTATTTGGCCTGTTTTTGTGTCTCAGTGACGCAGTCACAAATCTTTAAAAACCCGTCCACATTCCTGAACTTCCGGCCGTCATTTTTGGGTCAATCCCGTCATCACCCTGTCAGCTGACTGATCTAGCCCGCGAGTGTGACCCACAAACGTTTGTTTTGGGTGGCGTTTGGTTCGGGGGCCCGCCGGCAATGTCGCGTTAGACCGGTGCCGGGCCGGATTAGAGGCGGGGGAAGATCGGAAGCTGGGATCGACTTGGCACTTTGGCGGGTCGAAGCAAATACCAGACTGGTATCTCAGGAGAAGAATACTCCCCTTTCTAGGTATTTCTTACGAAATTCGGATGTATTTGTTCTCTTGTAATGGAACCAAGGATTCCTTTGCAACTACCCATGCGGGACAGATAGGGGAAATATTTGGGGGAATTGTGCCTTTGATGATAATAAGCATGGCATTTGGCACAGTCAGAGTATGTCATGGGAAAGATATTTGGCTATAGGGCCATCGCAAAAAAATATAGGTACAATAACAAGCAATTTTCAAGATTTTCAAAATGGCTGCCATTGCTTGTTATTCTACCAATTTATTTTCAAAGGATAAATCTGCGACGGCCCTATAGCCAAATATCTTTCTCATGACACACTCTGACTGTGTGTCAATGCCTTGCTCGCATCATCATCATCAAAGGCACAATCCCGTCACCTATCTGCCGTAAATGGTGCTGTAGCTCATTATAGTCAGTGAAAAGAAATTCTGGACAGCGGTAAATGAAGATTTCTTTTCAGTTTTCAAAGGTGGGAGGATATCTCCAGATGGGAAAACCCACATGGCATCAGATTTATAGGGACTGAAAAGTCCAATCCATACATGGGCCAGGTCGGGATTCGAGCCCGAGTTATTGAGATGGATGGTGAGGCAAGTACCAGAATGCCAACTGGTTTAGATTTGAGTCGTGGCTAGGTTCGTTAAAGGGAATATACAACATTTGCAAACATCGAAAAATAAAATTACCAAGTTTTTACGAAATACCTTAATAGGATGTTGGTAAATGACAGTCTAAATCATCCTGTAAAATTATGGCACCTGGTATACTGTCATTTTCAAGAAAAGTGGTATTTTTGTATCAATTTCCAACGCTGATCGGCCGATCAGCGTTGGAAACAACTGGCTTTTTTTCAAATACTGGCCCCAATTGACCATTGCACTTGTTTGCAATCGATTACAAATCTATGAACGGGTACGAGCCAGCTAGACTGGTTCCCTGACCTTACAATTCCCCAATGTATGTAAACTGCTCTGTTTCTTCTTATATGGAGTCAGGGAACCAGACTACAGGAAAATGATCGCTTTTCTTGGTTTTTATAGCATTTTCGAACCCAAAACCTCCAAAAAGTCAGTGTAACTATATTTGCTTTATATTTCCAACCCCCCAATTCCATCCATTTCTGAAAATTACAGCAAAAGCAAATGATGTATATTCCCTTTAAGAAGCCTCTGTTGAGAAAAAATCTTCTTGCAATTTTGAAAGAACCACTTCTTCAGTTTGAAGCCCTGATTTATACAACACGTTATGAATGCAGCATGCATGACTAAAGTTTCCTGATCGTCCTTCTAATTTTTTTAGCCTCAGTGTAACAAGTTCAGTTCGGGAGTTAGATCACTTTCTTTTATTAGTCTTTTTGTCAATTTCAGTAAGAACACAGCTTCAAAATGAGCTGACATTCTTCTCATAAACATCAATTTTAGTAAAAAGCCAAAGACGGGCCAATTAAACAAAAGGCCTACATGTATTATGCATTTTTTTAAATGCAAATTATGAAACGTACAACGAAAGTTTGGAAAAGTTTCGTCATGCCCGATGTTCCACAAATCTGCGTTCGTCACGTGCATGTTTCTGATACCTCCGTGGTTTGTGGTGGTACCGCCCGGTGTCCCAGGGGTGTCACCGTAAATCCATACCGTGATCAGAAGGGAGGAAAGGCGTCAAACCACGGCGACCACAGAGGTGTCAAGTCCCGCTACCCGACGTTGGGAGGATGCAGGGGAGGGTCGCGGTGGTTGTGCGGTAGATCTCATAGCTTTAAAGGCATAGGCCTATAGGATCATTATAGGATAATTCGTGCAGCCGCTGACTGATGTTAGAAAACTAGTAAAATGGGGCCAAAAATAATCAATGGAATGCTAACGTTCCTAAATGTATTCTTGAATTGCTTAAGAATGCTGTAGAAATTATCGTTAATTTCAAAATATTCCGGGCATGCCAAGCCCCAGGACACCCCTGGCACGCCTTAGACTCAAACCCCCCCCTTATATCAACGCCCTCCCCCTCGTTTCCTGAAACTAGATCTATTACACTTTTCGAGAAAACAGTGAAAAAACATGCACGGCCTTTTAATAACAAAACGCGATTTTGTCCGTAGCAATCTTTATTCCAAAAATCAGACAATAGAATGATCGTCAGAAATCTTTTTCTATTTCTTCTAAATGACAGCAAGCCAGACGGAATAACTTTACAGGGTGTTTAGTACCAGTACGATCTTTAATCCAAGTAAGCTTTTTGAAAATAATTTGGTATAGGTTACGTTTGGGATAAATACAAATAATCCTATACTGCGGTCGTATTGGGTTTTTTTTCTTCACAACGCTCTGTTGGGGCGAAACTGTCAGTCATCCGTATAGTATAAAGGCCAACTGATTTCACTCCAGATAACAACAGAAAATGTAAAATCTATTTTCTTTTCGCGACAGCACACTGCATGTATGCATGAAATTTGGAGGGATGAATGTAAGAACCCCCCCCCCCAAAAAAAAAAAGGAGTCACCGACTTTTGATGCCATCACGAACAAACACTCACGCACTTATGACGACGTTTCAATCAAATCTCTCAGAAAGAAAGTAAAAGGACGAGGAGTCTTGAAGTGAGGTCAACCGACGCGCTTAATATCCTGAGGTGAGGGCGTCCTATTAAATTCACCGTTCGCATATCAGATCCTCAATTACGCTCAAGTCCAATATTATAACAAATC